TATGTTACGTTACATTCCATTCCATTCTATTCCATTCCATTTCATTGAGGAAAAATGTGTAAACTGATATTAATTGTATTGTTGTTTATTTTGTATTTGTATTTAATAAGGTTCATTATTTAACTTAAAAGCTATTGTGCATCGAACAGAGTGGCTCAAGTCAACATTATAACACATTTCTGTTTGCGTTGGAGCTAAAAATCAAGGTTAGATCTGTAGGTTATAGGCACCCTATTATATGAGATCTTAACATAGGAACGAGCGAATAATGGTCACATTGATTAATATGACCATATTGGTATACCATATTTCACCAATCATAATGTGACCGATCGGGCACGCTATAGCATGAGTAAATGATAATTAGGTGCCTTTAATTATGAGCAAATAAATGATCTTATGTAAGTATGTAACACGATGACTATAAATATAGTAAATACTAAATCCATCATCAAGTATTAATTGAACAAGCACTCGTAAGATAATATTTATCTACAACAATCACGTTGACTTTCTAGTAGAAATGTGATTAAGATAATATAAAGAGATTTAAATCATAAAAGTGCATTATCAATAAGAAGCCGTCTCCACTTGAAGCAACCGGAGTGATCACTAGAGCGCATGCGCATGACGCGTGCGTCTACGTAGTGGGAGGACCGCGCAGCACGTGCGTGCACGCACAGTGACGTACTGACCGCAAATGTAATAAAGGTATATTTCTTATGCCTGTCGTCACAATGCCAGTAACTGTAAAATATAAAAGGTTCTTTTTCCTGTAATTTGTCATTTCTGGTTTGTTATTTATCATTTTGTATTTATTTACCTGAAACGGTGCCTACTTGTGGTTTGGTGACGTTGACGTGTTTGATTTGATTTATGTCACGTACCTTTTTAATAATTATCATGGTTTTGACTTTATAAACAAGGTCCATTTTTTACTAACTAGTTAACCACTTTATTAAAGACCGCTGTATATCAAAAACAAAGTATGCTAAGCATACGTTTTACTATTTATTAATTAAATAAAATATGTATATCAAAATAATGGACATTAGAATTCAGTTACTGAATACCTCGTTGGTCAAGTGGTCGCTGGTACTCTCTGGACTGGTCTCGGGTTCGATTCCCGGGTCGGGCAAAGTACTTACTACTGGGTTTTAAAAAAACTCAGTAGTAGCACGGAGTCTGGAATTATCCCCAGATGCCCAGTACCTATATGGAAATAGGCTCACCCCCTATTACATGGGACTCATAAACAGAGAAAATGAGTGTAACAAAGTACAGTAACATTAAGTGCCGTAATGTGTACCTCTGCCTACCCCTTTAAGGATAAAAGGCGTGATGTTATATTATGTAGAGTTCAGTTAGACGGCTTCTTAATACCTGGTTATTACTTGAAAATGTGTCCGCACGGTAGCTACATCTACATATCGATTATACTAACTACCATCATTTTATTTGAAAACAGTCGTGTCAATCCGTCCCTGTAGCAATCTCACAAACAGCTGATAATGTCTTAGATTCAAGAAACGGGCGTGGTTTTACAATCTTATTACATTACAAATTACTTTATCAATTATTCGTTATCTCTATTTAAAACTGATTACATAAAATATAACTAATTATAATTTATACTTAAGTCAGTGGATGACGAAATTCTTAGCTGAGAGCGATGTTTTATTTATCTTCTGTTACTATAGTTTTTTGTTGATTGTCGACTTGTTCGATAAGCCAACAAATTAGGGCGTGTTCGTTAATTGGTACTTATTTGTACCACTTGGTACTTAATATACATTTTATGGGGCACTAGCTGTTGCCAACGTAGAATATGATTTCTGTTCTATCTCATGAGAGAATTTAATCGGGATATAAAGTATCCTATCACGTAATTCAAACGTAAGCACGGGCCTGCGGTCGGCGAGCATGGGTAGCTCGCTCCGAACCAGGCCCAAGCGTATGGCGCGTTGCGTTCCGCGCGCGCCTCAAAGAGCCATCAGACCACTACGGATGGGATCCAATAGGGCTGATGCCTATACGGAGCCCCGGCAACCCGTTAAGTGAGGACTTAACGGGTTGCCGGGACTCCGGCTCGAAGGACACATAGGAACAGGGTGGTTTTTAGTCAGTAAGAGTCTGAGACTCCCTCCCGCCTCACTCAGGTGGGAGAAGTCATTGGATGATATTTCCCCCTTAAAAATCAGCCCATACCGTGCCTGTAAACCACATGTCAACAAAATCTGTTGATAAGTTTTAGCTTGATTGACAGACAAACAACCAAACAAAGTATTTTCACATTTATAATATTAGTGTGATTATATGGGATCTTTTATAGAGTAATCATGTTCTGAACTGTAATTTATTAGGCAACCCATAATGCTTTATAATTATTGACATACTAAATTGAATATATGTTTCATCAAATAAGCATTTCGGTGACAGCCATTTAAATGGGGTTCTTAGGCTATATTTTGTAGCCTATCTACAAGAAATGAATAATTGATAAGAGTGATTAGCGCCGCCCGTATAGACCCGCAACACTTCAGGAGTCACGAGTTTGTTGCCGGTCTTTTAGAGAAGTAAGAGGTCTCCGATTACCTCAATCACATAGCGACGGTGCCACGAGCAACCTCATTTGTAAGGTCTCTTAAGAAACACAATGCTACCGTTGTTTCACGCAGGATTTCATCGAGTACGTAGTATCACTCTGTTAGAGCCGACCCATTCGCATGCATGACTCTCCCACGTAAGCATACCTCTCCATGCATAGGTTAAATAAAAGATAAAGACTTCACATATCAATTTTATTAAAATCCTTCTTGTTTCATACGAAGCTTGTATATTGATCTAGTTACATCAAATGTCTAACTGCATATACATACATAACATTAATAATAATATATATAATTAATAATGAGTTTTTACATATGTGTGTAAACATATTTTACTGACTTTGACCCCAACATATGAATTACAGGGTCTAATATTCTGATAACATGTTTATTTTTAGGCATAAACTCCAAATATAACAAAAATAAATAATTTAATTTAGATGTATAAAACAAATTTATGAATTTTGTAAAATAAATAACATGTTTTTACAAAAATTAGTAATGATAATTGAGTTTTTACATTTATTTTACGTTATGTTATGTCATTTCAAGCGTTTGTATAATAATTTTAAATCTTAAATTACGTGATTGTAAGTTATAATATAAATTATTGTTTAAATAATAAATACGTTATAATTATTACGTTTATACATATAACACCTATTTGAATATTCAGCCCGATTAGTTTTGTTTTATTTTATTAGTTTTGGAACATACTATTATTATTATACTTTATACTATTAACGTCTATGCCAGCTAACAATATTCATAATTACTATTAAAACATTGTGATATAAAACTTAACTTATTCATTTATAAATATAATGTCGCATAAATAAAACATTTATGTTAGATTACTTATAAGATGACATAAAATATTGAGTAAATAATTTTCATTTTCACTTAAAATTTACTGAATTTAATTCAAATTGTAATATAGGTAATAATTGTTAAATAATTTTGTACTATAATTACAATTTAAAATATTATTGTAAATAAAATGTATCTTCATAATTATATCTTTAAATATAATTTGGTTTTAAAATATTACATAATTTATCTAAATAAGTTAAAATTGACCTATTTTAAAATTAAGTAGGTAAGTTTTTTAATTTTTATTGTCACAAAATGGTTTTAGATTAAATAAATATCTTTATATTATTACTAACGTAGGTATCAATTAATAATTATTGCAGACAGATACGAAGAATAAATAATAATATTTTAATTACTTTGGGAGGATTAAAATAAAAATCGAATTGTATAATTTTTGTTGAATAATAATAAACGAGATGAAAAGTTTAACAATACGTTTATTAGCCGGTAAAGATTACAGAGAACAGACAGAATGCACTAGCGCCACAAGTGACAACAATCGGAAACTTTTGGTTATGTTCGGAAACTACAACAAACAATACTTATTGATTTAATGTTTAATATTTCAACAATTTTGCCTGATACATATTTATGTTCTTGAAATAAATATATATTTCTATGATTGGACAAAAATATAATTAATATCGGGTTAAAATCTATCATTTAAATCTTTCGCCATTAATTGATAAATGTAATATAAATATTTTGTCTAAAATAACATTGGGTGTCGCGATGATCTTAAACTCCTAAACGTTTTCCATTAAAATTTTATTTATTATAGTCTTTATTAAGAGCTTAGCAAAATGTAGAAATTTTTCTATTTCGTTATATTATATAAGTACCCTTTTCGCTTGATTTTGGTAAAATTCCTCAATTATTAATTTTATTACGATTAAATAAAATCACCTTAGCATTATTTCGCTAAAACTATAAATATTTTCTTTTTCGATTACTCGTAATATTAATGAACTCAGTTAACATTTGGCTCATCATTATGTTCAGTCAACCTCCACATTTTGGAAGACTAACAGAATCTTCAATAGACATTTACACGTACATTTTTTTTCTCTAAATCTACATACACAAATTCATACAACGTGTATACGTACGATTCTAGAAATTTCGATAAGTTATTTTATTTTTTAATGTATTTTTTTTACAAAAAATGTTGACACAACCGAACATTTTGTTTAAAACCTATTTTCTTTTAATGTTCACGAGTACTTAGACGATCTATATTTTCTAATTGCTTCTATATTGTTAATTTACTGGTTATTTATAAATATTTTTTTATTAATTTTAAGACTCTTTTCACTATATTTAACTTCACAAAAGCAGAACACTGACACGATGTGTATTTATTTTTTAATGTGTATTTTATTTTATGGTAGATACAAATATTATATTATTTCATTATGATACACTTCATAAAAACTTAAATTCACAAAAAAGTGTCAACTAATTTTCAATCTTTAAATAAAATAATTAAATAAAAATTCTGCTTTCTAAAAAGATATTAACAAAAACCTGATAAATTATATTTTTAAATGTTACTAACGCACATCGACGCATTATTAATCAAGCATAATTATTATTATTAGTATTAACTATTATTTATTTTCCATGAATGTATTATTATTACTTATACATAGTTAACACGTTTGAACGGAAATCGCGAAGTCTTTATGGACAAAAAATAAAAAAGATTTTGAACTTATTCTTAGAGCATAAGTATTTAAACCGAATCCGTATTTTACTCAAACAATCCGAGTGTTTTTGTTCATTTTGAATTTCCTCAAACTGTTTATTTTTTTATTTATTGTTGTTATCAGTTTATTTAAGTAATGCTCTAAGAATTTAAAGCCCATGATCGTATTCTTTTCTAAGAATGACTTAAACCAATTTTTTTTCTTAATTTCAGTAATTCCTTTCAGAATACAACCCAACTAAGAACGGTATGATTTTCATTTCATTTTATTTTATTTTAAAATGCAACATGACATATAACCTTAAAGCCTTAACATACACTTCAAGCCACGAAAACAAAAACAACTATCACACACACCGACTCTATTAATCAGTTCTACACACAACACAGCTGTTAAACGACATGCGACAAAAAAATCGCCCCGTACGACAAAAAATCTGTTATTGCGACAAAAAATCGCAGAATCGGAAACTGAGATAAGGGTACGTATACACTGCCACCAAGCGCGTTTCTATTAAATGATCCACTTTAGCAACACGTCTATGAATTTTAGGACTAGATAAGAGTTTCTTTCCCTCCGTACTTCTTGAGGTACGAGTAAGGGCACTGGCTTCCGGGAGGTTCTCTCTTCGGCCTTGGGTCTGCATACTAGTTTTTCGACGTCAATATTGTCACGAACTCTGAAATATGGAAAATAAGAATATTAATATCAAGTGGAAGATTATCTGAGCGCTGTTCAATGCCCAAGCGGTCACCGGTGACCGCTCTCCATTATAGACCTTAATACCAATGTTTAGATACTTCTTTTATTTCAACAAATTTATGGGATTTTCGGTACGTTATTAAAAAGAACATAACATCACACCTTTTATCCCCGCAGAGGTAGGCAGAGCAGGCACTTTTACTATTTATGTTGTGAGTCCCATGTAATAGGGGGTGAGCCTATTGCCATGTACCGGGCATAATTCCAGACTCCGTGCTACTACTGAGAATTTTGTTTTAAAACCTAGCTGTACTTTACCCGACTCGGGTATTGGACCCGAGATCCCTTACCTGGTAGTCGCACTTTCGACCACTTAAAAAGAATATTATGATTTTGTTTACTTCTGCCTCGTTTCCTTGCAGAGTGGAGGAGAGGTGAGTTTCTCAAATATTCTCAGTAATAACAGGGAATCCAAAATTAGAATTTGCTATAGGTTCACCACATGGGACTCACAACATGATTGGTGAAGAGTGGGTGTTACATTTTTTATTTAAATACTTTTGATATTCTCCCCATACTCTTGTCCGTACCCTTGTCATCAATTACATTTTCTTTGTTTTATAGTCAATCATTATTAATTATTACTATTACTAATACTATTAAAAAATTGCTGGGAGGGATTTAAGATTCAAGTTACATGGATTTAATTTTCTGTATTACTTTTTTTAGTCTTTTGTTAAGCATTATATTTTAAGCAGGAAACAATATTTTTAAGTTATTTTTGTAAACTGGAAAGATAAGGCTTTTTTTTATTTATTAATTATTACAAAAATCTTATGTGTTACATTAACCACAATTTATTTTACACAAAGTAATTTATGTCTACTATCTACATATAGACATATTTTAATACATTTACTTTAACCCTACTGGATCAGCCCACTAGCACGATGAGTCGACCTGCTCCAGCAAAAGGCACCCTTATGTTACATTAACAAATCTGATGTTAAAATGTTATATATGAAAGACTATATTTTCAAATATTTCATCTAGTCAAATAACATATTTGAAAGTACCTATACCACCTTTGATAATAAATATTTTGGTAAAAAATTGGCATCATTCATATCAGTCCTTACCATCGTAATTGACCATGCCGTCACCATCGAGGTCTGCCTCACGGATCATGTCATCGACTTCCTCCTCACTGAGCCGCTCTCCCAAGTTGGTCATCACGTGACGCAGCTCCACCGATGATATCAGACCGTCGTTGTTCTTGTCGAATACCCTGGAATTTTTGGAAGTGTTTTGAGGATTTGATAGTGAATTCATTTTCAATTTTGACAAAGATGTAGGTTAAATCTAGTTTTGAGTAAAAGTGAAACTGAGGAACGACGTATATATTACTTTAATACTTTTTGAAGTCCGACGAAGACTATTGAGAATATGAACTCTGTATAAGACAGGCGAGAAAAATAACACTCTTACTACTTTAGGGTAATTATAGATCGACGAAAAACGGCAACATTCCTCTAACTAGCAATGTAATCTTATTTAGAAAAAATACAAACATAAATAAGAAAAATAAGTACCTAGAAATACTGATAAGTAGTAGTAGTAGTACCCGTAAGTCCTAAGTTAACAGAGATCGTTGACAACATTTTTAAAGTAATTTCGATATTAATGGTAATTTATTCTTTTCATTTTATGCTAACTATTAATAAATAAATAAACCTGTATTTTGACCAATTATTTATTTATTTTTGTACCTGAAAGCCTCCCTAAGTTCATCTTCTCCATCAGCCCCACGCATCTTCTTGGACATCATTTGGAGGAACTCATTGAACTCGATGGTGCCGTTTCCATCCTGATCTACCTCCTTCACCATGTCTCGCAGCTCTGTCTCTGGAATCCACAGAATTACAATTTTAACATAATGCAGTCAATTAATTCTTATGATTTAAGTTAAAATATACAATTATTTAAGGATCATATTAGGTGGTGCTCCGTCGTTTCTGCCTACCTATAAAACAAAGGTATGACTTTCTGTATGTATGTTGAATAGAATAAGTACTGGTCCGGTTCGATAAAGTTCGATATCTAGGTGTTACTCAAAGTGCTTGAAGATAATATCGAGTTTCCAGGTACTAAAATCATTATCATGTTTGTATGTAGACATTTCTATTTATTTACTAAGTAATAAGTAGAATTAAAAATCTAATCTAAACTTATGATTTGGTAAAATTGACTTTACAAATATTAAATTGCACAAGAATTTTTTTTTTAAATGCTAAACACTATATGATTTTCTCCTGTGTCTTGAGTGCGTTAAGCGTTGCCAAACATAATAGTATTTCCTCGTATGTCGTGGGTGCGTTTACCCACATACAAGTTCACATACACATTACACCAAGACCCGAAACAACAATTTATGGATCACTCATTCATGGCCTGAAACACAGGTTTAAATTAACCTAGATAGGGGTGGTCCACTGTCAAATAATGCAATTGGCTAGTTTCCTAGGTTTAAAATAAATTGTTTCAACTTTTCAATCCAATAAATAATTAAAAAATAATCATACTCTCATCCATTGATTTGACAATTTACCTAGTCTTAAATTTTTTCTCGCCAATTTTAAGGAAATAAGTATGCTATTTGATGCAGTAATATGAAGACGTCATAAGTTGCGATCCAATACAAAATTCATAGAAAAGTATCGTTTTTGACATTTCATTCAGAGTTTTGAATTTGACTACCTGTCAACTACCGTATTCCGAATCACTGTCAATATACCTTTATTGATATTTTAGTTTTGGTATATTCTAAAGCACTGTATTGTATCATTATTGTAATAGGGAACCCTGCTACTATTGGCTTAATATTCATTTTTGTTTATTCATAAAATTATTATTCAGAAAACACAAAGAGTTGGTCCTCGTTAACAGCAGCCATGGACCACCCCGCCGAACGAGCAGTCATGTTAGTAATGACTTTTTTAGTTTGTTAATTTCATTATTCTTTCGCATAAAACTACCGAACAAATATTAATTAGAAAAATATAATTAACAGTCTCCAACAACGCATAGTTTACTTTATATCTCGGTAACGTAGGTGGAGCCGCTAGCATAAGTTAGCTTGTAATAAACCAACTGCAATATACTGAAATTATGATAAACCCGGTCTTATGGTATTATCTTGTAATATATAACGTAAACCGATGTCGTCATATATTATATTAAGTCGCCTACGTGAGGTGGTTCTGACATAACTAATATATAGAGTCGCTGTATAATATATATTATGTTGTATATCATGTTGTAGGTACAAAAGGACAGTCTTGGGTTTATCCGATTGCTATTGTTGATAAAATTAGCTTTTTGTTTTAAAAAATCGTTGCCCCACATTTGGATTTTTCCTGTGTCGTGGGTGCGTTTACAAACATACAAGTTCACATACACAATGACACCCAGACCCGAAACAACAATTTTTGGATCACACAAAGTGTTGTTCCGTGCGGGAATCGAGCCCGCGACATGTTGCATGGCAGCCGGTTGTCCAGCCATTAGCTTTTATTTTTGTCTTAATGCCAATTAGAACAATTTTGACAAAATAATAATTATAGTATTACTAGACAATAATTATTTTATTAATATAATAAAGACTGCGTCGTTGGCCGAGTACTTGTAAAGTGCGACTTTGCCCCGTGGTAAGGGGTCTTAGTTTGGTTATAAATGAATATGAGAACAGACTCTCTCTATTCCATCGATTGTGGTAGTAATACCATCACTGGTGAAAAGTAGGTTAATGTGAATCTCTACCTATCCCTTTGTAGTATCAATAGGCGTGACGTCATTGTTAGTTCGAAAATGGGTTTCATACAAAAAGTAAAGAGATACGAAATTTCGTCACGGGTACACGTCGGCGCCGTGGCTTAGTTGGTTAAAGCGCCTGTCTAGTAAACAGGAGATCGTGAGTTCGAATCTCGCCGGGGCCTACGTTGTCTTTTTGTTACATTTTACTTTTATTTTTTAACTATAATCCAACAGTTTTAGTGATAAAAACGAAGGAAAGTAATGATCCTATCAAGTATTTTTACCTTAATACACGTTTTCATATCCGAAATCCGTTTAGTTTAAAATAGAAATACGTCATCAGACATTTGGCACAGTTTCTCAGATAGCTTCTGATAGAGTAAACAAGAAAATGGTTTATAAATATTACGGTACACGTGTCATATGCATTTACTCAAAGTGTTTTGATCAAGACACCAACTATAAAATGAACACGACCAAAGTCATTAGCATAAAAATAATTTTCATTCTTTCATGTATTAAAGGTGTTTTTTTTTATGTCATGAGCCAGTAAACGAGCAGATGGATCACCTGATTACCTGACTAACACGACAAAACACTATGTAACCGTTGTTTCACGTCGATATTTTGTGAGGCCGTGGTACTCCGGTCAAACCAGCCCATTCGTGCCGAAGCATGGCTCTCCCACACTTAAAATGTGTGTGGTGTATTAGAATAGGCTAGAAGGGCACATGACATGAGCAGACGGGTACCTGATGGTGCGCAATCACTTTGCTGCCCATATGGTCAGGAGTTACAATCGTGTTACCGGTATTTAGAGGTAGGATTGGGCCTCTCCTAAGTAAACTATGGAGGTCATTCCTAGACGTTGACGCTATATATATATATATATATATATATATCAGTCACTGTTTTCTGTAAAGCGTTTTGCTTTCTCAGTCACACCATATTTACATAGGTGATTCCTTCTTCGTTTTGATAAAGTTAAACACTTTCGCTTCCTATTCTCCAATTGTTTAAAATTCTTTTAAAAACCCAACCAATATTTTGAAGTAATAGCAATCCGATATTCACAAAAATTCCTTCTATCAAAACACACAGGGATCCGACTTAATTTAAATCCTCGGGATGAAACAATCCACTTTTTAAAACTTCGCCGATCCGAATTCAATAAAATTTTACGATAGCACCTATTGAAGTTCGTAATAAATTGTGTATCAAACTGATTTGTTTACGATGCTCATATTTTTGTAACTAAAACCTTTTGTAACAATGTTTTGTATAGATTTTATATTAAAAATATATTCTAAAAGGTTATACATTGGTTGTGCATGTTGTTCTTTGGTTAAAACAAACCTTTTGAGGATTAGTAATTTAAAATTGTTGTAAATTCAGGGATTGGGGAGAACAGGGAGGAGCAGGAGGTAATTGGGTCTCCGAAAACCTCACTCACACGACGAACCGCAAAGCAATGTTATTTCACGTCGGCTTTTTGTGAGGCTGTGGTATCCCTTCGGTCGAGCCGGCCCGTTCGTACTGAAGCGTGGTTCTCCCACTCTAAAATGATCTGTTTAAAACGAGAGGGAGTGTCAGACTTTTACCGTATTAAAACTACCCAATTCCTATCTCTGCTTTGAGCTGCAGCCCCGTTAACCTAGGATTAAATCTAATCTAGGATTTACAATACAATTAGGTACTAAATTAAATATAAATTTTCATTCATAATAGGTACCTACCTATAAAATATAAAGTAAAGATAGACTTAATATATATGTATACTCCTATACACTAGGTAAAGACCGATTGAATAGATTGAATAGATAACATTCATGACATAACATCTGAATAGATAACATTCACACATTACAATAATTTAATTGTCTAAAACCTTTATTTATTAATTTTACATTAATAATAATCAAACAAAACGCCCTTCCCCTCTCCTACCACTTTTAAATGTTTCTGTGCCGAACAGGGTCCATAATTATTACTATTGTATTTTCTAACCACCTGTATATGTACATTACGAATGCAATAAATACTTGAGTACTTAATTACTTAACCTGTTAAGTTGTCCGCGGCTCCGGATCGCGAGGGTGACAAAGGTAAGGCGATCATTCTTGTATATTCAGTTAGTGCTTTAAAGTCGTGTACCAGCATATCATTGACTTTACTTCTATCTTCTAGAGGAGTCTCTATAAAGAGGTAAATAAAGCTGGTAAAAAAGTGCAATTAACGACCTTAGAACTTGGTGTTTTATTTAGAAATCTAACATCCGTAAATAATTGTGTAGGAAGAAAGGTTTTCCTTTGTCAATTTCAATTATAGAAGTAACAATTAACTAATTGTACTGTTTGTGTTGTACAAATCACCTTTTTCGAATCTGACTTTTTATAAGCAATAAACCATTTTGTTTTTCAAAAAAAACATTGCCCTACTCTAGAATATGGTCTAACACTGCAAGTACTACTCCCGCAGCTGTAGCCAAATGCCATTTAGCGCTTGTCTACTTGTAGAATGGAAAACCAAATTATATGGAATTGACGTAAATTTTGACCCTTGTCAGTGTCATCCTCATACATTTAGTTTTCTACTGTTTCGGTAGACAAACGCTAAAGTGGCGTTTGGCTAAAGACACTGTATAGGAAAACTGAGTAACTTCAACATACAAGTTCACATGACACCTAGACTCGAAACAATCATTTGTGGATGAGTGCGGCAATTGGACACACGACACAGCGCCAGCCACACCGCCAACAGCGCAGTCATAAACTGACAAATAAGGTTTTTGAACACTAAGCTTGTAGTGTCAGACCAATTTGCATCTAATAACATAATTAATAAAGAAGGTTTTATATCAGCCTGTCTCGTTGACCGCAAGTGCGACTGCCGGGCAAGGGGTCTCGGGTTCGATTTCCGGGTCGGGCAAAGTATTACTGAGCTTTTAAAAAACTCTCAGTAATAACACGGAGTCTGGAATTGTGCCCGGTATATGGCAATAGGCTCACCCCCTATTACATGGGACTCTAACATAAATAGTGAAAAGTGGGTATTACATTGTACAGTGATATAATGTGCACCACTGCCTACCCCTTCGGGTGCAAAAGGTGTGATGTTATGATGTTATGGTTTTATATCAGAATACGTGAAGGAAACCGAGATGTACAAATAACAGGTACACTAATACTAAAGAAGCAGGAAAATAATATAAAACAAAGTGTAACTACAAAACGGTGCCTTCAAGACAAATTAAAGAATCTATTCTTTCTTTGTCTCACCTTAATTGATTAATTTCATATAATTAATTCCTGTATTCAATTGTTTCTTTTTTCCTTAGCAGAAGGCTGTTTGTATAGTTCATGGTTCCTTACTGCGAGTGAATTAATGGTTATTGCAACATTGAGGTCTATCTATCACAATGTTGGACCTTTGCCTAATAATTTTTATAAGAAATTCTCGAAGAAATTATTCTTTACATAAGAAAATGGACAAGAAATTCTTCATAAGTGTGGGAGAGCCATGCTTCGGCATGAATAGGCAGGCTCGACCGGAGTGATACCAAGGTCTCACAGAAAACCGACGTGAAATAACGCTTGCGTTGTTTCTTATCTCCAAAATCCCCGAATCCTCCACAATTACTAAATTCTCATATCCCAAAAGGCCGGTAACGCACTTGTAACGCCTTGGTGTTCCAGATGTCCATGGGCGGCTCCGATTGCTTACCATCAGGTGATCCGTCTGAACGTATACCGGCTTAAGCCATAAAAAAATTACTTGAGTCAATTGTTTATATTGCAGCGTACCTATGATAATAATTATTAAATTGGCCGCAATTGTAAAGGATATATTATATTAATTTCATTGCTAGTAGTTGAATATAAAACATGTGAGTAAATACAGGTGGTCTGTAATTATTATGGCATGTATTTAATGCAGCAACTAAGTAAAATAGTTTTTGCTCCTCGTCTAATATTTCAATTGACTTGTATAGTTTATTAGCTTCCTAAACGCAGCTACTAGTTTTTAGTTTTTATAATACCATTAATTTTGAACCTTGCATAGTATAATAATCGCGAGAATATTTAATCGCGTGCAAGTTATTTAGTTGTTGCAAACATTTGGTCGACTTTTAAGTTATTAGTAATTTGGAAAATAATAACTTAAGGACCTAATATCAAATCATCAGCCAGATACAAATGATACTTCAAAATAAATTTTGTTGGGTGGTTGGGCAACTGACTGCCGCGCAACGTGTCATGGTTTCGATAAACGAAACCACTCTTTGTGTGATCCACAGATTGTTGTTCCGAGTCGGTATAATGTGTAAGGTGTATGTGAACTTGTATGTTAGTAAACGCAGACTGCAGCAACGTTTTTTTTTTAAAAAAAAGCAACATTTTAGGATCAGTATTTTTACAACGCATAAACCAACAGCAGATTGTTTTTTTGGTTTAAAAACCAAACAAAATGAGTATAATCTGAGAAGGTATTCTCTAATCTATCACTTTAGTATTACATATTACATTATCCAAAGGACTTTTTTAGGCCACATGACGTTGTACCTCTTTCTATCACAAATACTTTGTACCTGTTACTTCTTTCTATCCATCAGGCATATAATAAAATAATACTTTGTCATATGAAAAAGTGTGGGAGAGCCATGCTTCGGCACGAATGGGCCGGCTCGACCGGAGTTATACCACGGTCTCACAGAAAATCGACGTGAAACAACGCTTGCGTTGTGTTTCGTCGTGTGAGTGAGGTTACCGGAGGTCCTCGTCTCCCGTCTACCGAATCCCCGAATCCTCCACAATCATCAAATTCCCAATTCCCAGAAGGCCGGTAAAGCACTTGTAACGCCTTGGTGTTTCGAGTGTCCATCGGTGGCGCCGATCGTCGAACAGACGGATCACCTTACCATCAGGTGATCCGTCTGCTCGTTTACAGACTTATGCTATAAAAAAAATGAATTAGATTATTTACCTGAAGGTCTCTGTCCAAGCGATCGCATGACCACTCCAAGTTCTGCCATCGTGATCGTACCATCTTCATCCTTGTCGAATAGCATGAAGGCTTCCTTGAATTCTGTAGGATACATATGAAGCTGTTATTTTTAAACTATGTACTCATCGTGCTACTGTGCTGTTTATTACTATACTACACCGGGCTTATAAGATACTTAGTGGGTTTTTAGGAACTTAAAGCCACCCCGTTCCTACTCCTGGACTTCCGCGGCTCCATATCGGCATCAGCCCTGTTGGGCCCCATCTAGAACCTACATTATGTTAGGTACTAAAAGAGTTTCTAATCTTTTTAGACATCAAAAAGATCCTTAACTATCAGTGTTTTATTATAAGAATATAGAAAACAAAGCATTGATTTCATACACATTAAAATAGGTATTTATACGTATATGTGTATTCTGTTGATGCCGCAGCCAAATAGCTAAGTTAGCCGTTCGACTAGTAGCCTGAACAATTGAATAATTCTTAACTGTTTGATTGAATGACTATGGTTATGTCTAATAGGTATCTCAGTTAGGTCGTCTGAATAGGTAAGTTCAGTGGTTGTGAATCATTTGTTTTGGAAGGCAATAAGATGAATTGATCTCACCTGCAACTTGTTCTTCTGTGAGGCCATATTCAGACTGAAAAGAAAAAATACAAAATTAGGTAAAACTTATATTATTGCCTACTTTATACAGGCTGTAAACGAAACGCTCCCGGAACGCTAACAAAAATACAATTTTCAATTCTCATCGCTTTTGTTTTCATGTCATTCATGCAACGTTAGCCTTGAGCAGCTGATTACAACTATGATTACATTGTAGAAACATTTAATTTCTTACTTTTTTGAACATTAAACTTGTTTTTTACCATCACCTGTTGGCGTTTTGCGAGAGCATTCTGTTTGCACCCTGTATTATTAATTTGTAGTGGTAAAAAGAAAGTGAAGTTGAAAGTGAATAAAATTTTTCTCAAAGGGTTTTATACGCTAATATTTTTGTTTTATAATACGTACAGATACTTGACGAATAGCCAAATCACTAGTAAGTCTCCTCAGTCTTCTGTATTCTTTATTGTAATTATCTTCTGACGGTTTAGTAGCCGCCATTTTTATTTTCTTTCTATATTTCGATTAAAGAATAAAGTGCGAAAAAAATAATTATATATTTTACGCATACGACTATCTAAGATCGTAGTTGATTAAACAATCTCAGATAGTTGTAAAGACAAATTGGTTATTTACGAAGTAAACAAAATAATGACAATTAAATACCCAACACACCTATATGTGTTTAGATAGAATGGTTTAGATACAATAGGTATTTATTATAATATTTTAATCTTTCATGGTATTTTTAGCGAAATATTAGCCACGGAAACATTGCGAATAACGCACATAAAGGCGAATCGAAATTATCAACACGAATGCCATTGAATTCGTTACATCGATGTTTTGGCGAATACCAAGGCAAGCGCAAGGTTGGTATTACCGTAAGTTTAATAACATTAAATGAAATAAAATTCGACCTTATTTGTTACGAAATAAAAGCGATATCATTATGTAATTGTTATCACATAAGGTTTCCAAAGTCAATAATTGCAGTACCTTTAGTTTTCAGTCTAACATGATCACTTTGTCTGTACAAGATAAGTGGTCTTGTCACACCAAGAAGAAAATCGAAAAAAGAAACAAACTTTCTTATGCTTTCGTTAAGAAATAAGGGACAAACGTATAAATGGCTATTCCGCATTGAGCAAGCGTGGTCCATATTGCTTGGTCGTGGTCTTGGTCCATATTGCTTTGGTCAGCAGTGAGCATTAATAGGCTGATGATGTCTTGTGTGTGATGTGAGAAAATGTATCACGACATAGACACAGACTACAGAAGTATTATTTTCTTATTTTTTTTATGGCATAAGCCTCTAAACGACCAGACGGATCACCTGATGGTAAGCAATTGGCGTCGCCCATTGACACCTTTAACACCAGAGGCGTTACAAGTGCGTTACCGGCCTTTTGGGGATTAGGAGTTTGAGACTCGTTGGGGATTCAGGAATTGGGGAGATTGGGGAAGGGGAGGGTAATTGGGCCTCCGGTAACCTCACTCACTTTTCTTTTCTATTTTGAAAAAGTAAACTGGGTAATAATTTGTCATTGACATGACGCAAAATGAAGTAAGTAAATGTTAACCAAAATATTACGACACTGACTTCAACAAAATTTTTGGCTAACCAGGGTCGCATGATGAATCATAAATATGTCGTGTGTCAGTCCCACCTACGCTAACTCCTTAAAATGGTCATAAGGTCCTTGTTAAGTCTTCACTTACAATAAGTATAAAACAAATTCTTTTACCACTGTCTGTCTCTATGCATGCTAAGATCTTTTAAATTACACAACTGATTTTGATGACTGATAATGATTCGGAAGAAAGGTTTATACGTAAATATATAACTACATATGTGTGCGACATACCAACGTAGGTACATGTACAAAATATTTTATGTATGAATGGACTGGAAAAACCAAAAGAAACCCAATCGTGCTCACCCCGTATTCTGATAAGTAGTTACAAACTTTTGCCGATACTTTCAAAGTTTTGCGCAGTTCTTTTGTTTTTATCTTTTCAAGTTAAATAAGTAGCTGGGAAGATATCCTTTGTTTTATTGAAGCAATGTGCTATAATATAATATTATCGTCAGTTGGTATACAACAAAAAGATATATAAGTTTTCTAGATTAGTTTCAAGCTCGGATTTTTGCGTTTGGTCGTACTTTTTTGGTGCTTAGTTTTCAGTACCTAATTATCACAATATTATATGACGAGACATGTCTAATTTATGTGATTAGGAAATCAGAATTTTCGCTGATGATCTTATATTTCCTTTTACTTAAAGCTCTGTAAACAAAAATCCTAAATAGGTAAATCTTAATGGGACATTGAAACCGGTCATTAATTATCTACCAATATTAAAAAAAAACATGGCGATGCATTACATAGCGCACCTTACTTTAGAAGATATGTTTGTATAAAAATATATATTCACTCATTGAAATTAAAAATATAGGAACATGTTCGACTGTTATGTTCCCCCAAGAGACTTTACTTCCTCATTTTATTTTAGAACACCATTGAAAATTGTCACTTCATATCACTTATTTTTCGAGGTTCCAATTCTATCATTTTGCTCACTTTTAAATATGATTAGGTTACTACGTAGGAACAATGGAGATATTAGATACATATTAATGGAATAATGTCGCTTTTCATTTAAGGATTACACACACATAATGAGTGTAATAATAATCACAACAGATGAAAAATTGTGAGTAATTTCGATAAAACATACAAGAGTAAGAGAATTAATTTTCAATGCAATTAAATAAAAACTCAGCTGTTACATCAAAATAACAAATTAGCCACATTGAACACCACTATTCATGTTATATACTTAATTTTCCCTCAAAATTATCTTTTAATCGCACTTTACACTTATTTTTAACACAACACAAAAGTTTTTGCACTAAAAGTTGTCTCTCATTTTGAATGCGACACGATAACAATACATAAGCAAAATGGCGCGCACGCATTGTTGTTTTAATTTTGTTTTTTTTTAAACACGACACAAAGACAAGGTTCTTTAAATCCAATTTGAAAATAGATTTTGGCACGAACGCGTTTTATTTTTACTTGAGGTATTTTAGTTTATTTTTAAAGTTGTGATAACAATCTATTTATTGCTTTTTTATTTTTAAAATCAATTATTTAATCGTACTGGTGATAATATGCGCGACGCGACATTGTCAGCTCGGATATTAGTAGAATTCTATATTTAAATTATTTTCGCTTATTACTCTAGGCGCCTTCTACAATGGTGTCAACATGATCGTGATCATTTTTAATTTTTTGCGTAGGTGGAGATGATTACATGGATCATGTCATGTCATTATAATAAAATAAAACATATATTGATATAAAACGAAATGTAATAGGTAGTGTGGTTTTTGTAACCACACATTTTTTTTCTTGCCACTATTACTAATCGCCTTTTAGTCGTAACAGATAATATTTTTCAAAAATGAAAAAAGTAAACACGTCTTTGTTTCCATACTTATTTCTAATTTGATTCGTACAATATTATATTTATAGCCAATGCGTATTTTTTTTATACATGTATAGGAAATAATTATTTTTTGCGGTCATTGAGGAACATAGAAATATTATTCCGGTATCTTGGCACGACGCGTGTCATTTGGAACGCGCGAGTTTGGCGGGAAAATTATAGACTCATCAACCTGTGACGTTATGGATCAATGGCTGATGCCAGAGAAAAATAAGCCTAATGAGTATCACAGTTGAGATCAATTTCGCAAAGTCGTTTTCGAACTAATGATAAGAGTTGCTAGTACAAAATGTCAACACGAATAATATCGGCCAGTAGCGACATCTATTGTTACTGATTAAAAACTGATTCTAATGTTTAATGTTATTTAATTATTTATATATTGTACACATTTAAGTAGCTTAAAAACGAACAATTCAAGTAAATATGCGTACAATAGGTGGTTTTATCACACAATGGTGATTGTTGTGTTTATAGTATAGAATAGAATAGAATAGTATAGAACATCAGATTAAGATTTTTATCCATTCGTAAAATGTTTGATTCGAATTCAAAGAAATTAATGTCGGAATACTGAAAAGCTACTCAATTTTAAGTCGTACTTCAGTATAGTTCTATCTCTACAAATTCTTTGTAAAATGAATGAGATGGCACGATATTTGAGCACGACTTAAAAAGTAGGTAACGTTTCAGTATTCCGGCATAAGACACATAAGTTGAAATGCCTGATAAATATGTTTGAGCAACATCTACCAGATGTCAGTTGAAAGCCGTTCAGTCACATAGGCGCTTAACAAAACTATTTTTGTTCGTGTGATCTGCTGCATTGCCGTGTGGTGTGGTGGAATAGAAAATATATCGAAATATGTAATTACTTAATTGTAACGGATAAAACATTTAAATATTAATAAATAACTAGTTCTAGCGGTTTCACCTCGTTCCCATGGGAAAAAAGTAGCTGTATATATTTTTTCAGATTATAATCTACCTCTAGTCCAAAATTTCATTCCAACACTTTCAACAATTTTGACGTGATTAAGTTACAGTGTATGTTACACATAAACTCACTCAACAACTTTCTCATTTACATTATTAGTAACGACTACCTACCTAATGGAAATAAGTCCCAACAGATGGCGCTATTAGTAACATTTATTACACATGTACGGGGCTTATCCCAAAAAATTCTATCTGACTGCTTGCTTCTTGGAAAACAACACATAACAATATTTTATCTTAGTACATCATCATTAAAACTGTTTAAAATTCTTTCAACTACTTTAGAATGTATTTTAATACGATTTTAAATGCATTTAAACTAGAACAATCGCCTCGTTGTCACAATAAAAGATGACAAAAGAGACGATACTTACTTTCTACTAATACAATGAATACAGATGTATGGATGTTTAGTCAGTGACGATTTTTTTAATATTATGGAACGACAGGACAAATCTTACACAAAACACACTTAGCACCTGTGTTACCACCTTCATAATAAGTTTACTTATGTGACAA